GGCGCAACTATACCGACATGTGAATAATCCCACCCACTCTAAAGCAATACTAAACTGCAGTGGAAATGCAAACCAAGCCGAGCCGAGCCGTGCCGTGCCGTACTGAGTCGAGCCGAGTCATACCACGCAGTGGAAAAGCGCCTTTAGAGTCTAAGCCTTTTCTGGTACAACCCAATGATGAAATTGTTCAAGAAACGTAAATTGAGTTAGATTGTGAGTTTGGGTAAAAATACACACAAATCCATACTTACTTGAGCTGTTCTGAGACTTAGATGCATAGCTATACTCACAAGCCTGTCACACTTGTTACTTTGGAATATTTTGCCAAATAATTCCTGACACAAAATTTCCTTACATCTATCTGAAATAAAACAAGCGACGCGGAATTAAAAAGTTTTTCAGGAGTCGCGGCAATAGAGGCGGCGCAACTATACCGACATGTGAATAATCCCGCCCACTCTAAAGCAATACTAAACTGCAGTGGAAATGCAAACCAAGCCGAGCCGAGCCGTGCCGTACTGAGTCGAGTACCACACAGTGGAAAAGCGCCTTTAGAGTCTAAGCCTTTTCTGGTACAACCCAATGATGAAATTGTTCAAGAAACGTAAATTGAGTTAGATTGTGAGTTTGGGTAAAAATACACACAAATCCATACTTACTTGAGCTGTTCTGAGACTTAGATGCATAGCTATACTCACAAGCCTGTCACACTTGTTACTTTGGAATATTTTGCCAAATAATTCCTGACACAAAATTTCCTTACATCTATCTGAAATAAAACACATTTACAATGATCTCACTAAATGAAGAAATATCTAGCCATTTCAAATGTCATTCCATTGTTTGTAACTCCCTGAAGTAATAAAAACCTGACTTCTAATGAATAAAATTCATAATGGCAGACGGCGTGGACGGCGTTAAGCTCTCTGGAACACCACAGATGCACTGGCACCTCATTTATTATCATCAGGACCAATGGGCCTTGCTGCATTGTGCGTTCAACTCCAACTGAGCCAGTGCACTTTGCCTAGCAACATGTATCCCTGCAGGCCATTCCAGTTCAATGCTTGCCCTGGACTATGACCTCCATCACACACACACATGCACAGAGACACTGCATACAAATGTCTTTTCTCAACATGCACTACAAATGTTACTCATTTTAGCTACAAAACGCACACAACCGGTCTGAACAATACGTCTAAAAGATATCCCCATCAAATAATTTATTATAAAATGGATAGTTCCGGTCTTAGTTTCTGATTTGTCAATGCAATATTCAAAACACAGTAACGTATAGTAAAATAGTAATGGTAAGGATGCAAAGCACTGGTTCACTGGGCAACTGTGAATTTGAGCACTCATGAACTGATTTTATGTTATGCTGTTGTTTACATACCAGGGACTCGGAATTTGCTAAATAAAGTTTTTTTTTTAATACCCTTTATATGTTTAATCGGGAACATAATGGCAGTGCGTAAGTTCAAAATATTAATAAACACAATATTTAAAATAAATATGGGTAAGTAATATAAAATCACACACATATATATATATATAATATGAAAAAAAATCTAAAAAAATGAAATGTAGTAAAGCATTTGGATAAAAGTAAATATCTACATACTGCTTTTATGAGCAGAGTTAGAAATAATTTCTGATATGTACAACAAGTGTTAAACGACTCTGTCCACACTTTCTCACTCAATCATTTTTATTCAAAAAAAGTTGACAACAAAGAGAAAGAGAGAAAAGGAAAAAGTATTACTCCCTCTCCTCCTTTCTTCTTTATGCATTCATCACAACTGAAATCACTTTATCTTTTGCGCTCGCTCCACTAAATAATATTAGTTAATGAGAGACGTCATGCTCTACAATACTGAATAATATAAGCCCATCAACCCTGCTTTACCTCAGGTCCCTCACGGCCAGTTCTTTTCACAGTGCTGGCTGTCTCCTAAAGGACAGCTGCAGCAGGACAAGACAACCATAGCAAATCCTGAAGAAAGCTTTATCAGAGTGGTCATGAACGAGGCCAAGCTAGATTTCCCTTGCAGCCAATCATACGGCCTCTCAGTTTTTACCCTCACACAAACACTGAATTACAAACAGTCCCGCTAATGCGAGTGTGTGCCACTATTCTATCTGCACTCCTCCCTGCACAGCAGGGTTCTTGTATTGGGATGCAGCGTAATTTGAGGTTGTGGCCCCTGCTGTCTGAGTGGCACATGCCCGCTCAGGAAAGGGCATGGGGCTGGCGGAATCCCTGCATTCCACACTGCTGCCTTTGAATAGTACTTTAGCAACAGGGAGCTCTGTGTTACGAAATAGGAGGGACTAAAGAATTTACAACTACAGCAGAGGTTCCAGAGTGTGGAGTGATAAAATAACAGCTCAATTGTGCATTATTGTACGAATGTCACTGAGGCCAACATAGTGCATACTGCTATTATTTTATATAAAATATAAAAGCATATTTCCTGTATTATTTATTACATTTATTATCCATTAAACGTTTTTTAAGGATTTTTTTTTCAGCAAGGGTGCATTGAATTGGTTAAAACTGACAGTAAATATGTATATTGTTACAGAAAAAATCCATTTCAAATCAAATGATGTTCTTTTTAGAACTTTCCATTCATCAAATAATCCTTATAAAAATGCATCACAGTTGCCAAAAATATTGTGCAGCACTACTATTTTCAACACTGATAATATGAAATTTAGAAATGTTTCTTGAGCAGCACATCAACATATTGGAATGATTTCTGAAGGATCATGTGACACTGAAGACTGAAGTAATGATGCTGAAAATTAAGCTTTGCTTAATTTAAATTACATTTTTAAAGTATATTAATATAGAAAACAATTATTTGAAATTTCAATAATACTTCACAATAGTAGTGTTTTACTCTATTTTTCAGCAAATATTGTATATGCTGAGCATAAGTGTTTTCTTAAAAAAAAAACTTTTGAATGGAAGTGTATATTAAATATGATGTTTTTAATATGACCAAATCAGCCTGGCTTCACTATGTTGCAATAAAAAAATCATTTTGAGGGTTGAAATAACATGCCCACATTTAAGAGTAGTCCTAATTAATGCTCGCAGGGTTTCACTTATTGTGTGCTTAAATCACTAAAAACGAGAATAATAAAGCTGAACCATGTTGAATAGCCATCTTACCTTGTCTATGTCTCAAATTTCAATAGTAATCATGAATTTGATAGAGTGCCAAAAAAGCACTGACTCAAGTGGGACAGCAGCACAATATCTTTCACACCGTGGTAAGAAAAGTACTTTTCATCTAAGTCTAAGACACTGTCAAAAGAAGCTCAAACTAAGACTCTTCAACATCAATGCATCACTTTTGTGGACATTTTAGATGCAGCAAAGGACAGCCACTCTGACTGTGAATGGACACCAGTTTATTGTTGTGGTATCAGCGCAATGGGGGGCAGGCCTTACCAACCCCTCTGAGAGCCCAACACAAGAGATGCTGCTGGTGACCGGAGAGAAGAGGGCTGGTGAGGGCGGGTCCAGTGCCTCAGCCCAGACACTCCCTTTTTTCTCTGTTCCTGCCCAGTCACATTGTGCAGGGGGCCCGGCCAGGGCAGGACAAAAGGGAGCCGCGGGCCGGGCGGTTCGGATTCTATGTGAAGGTGTTTGGAGTGTGTGCTACCCCAAAACCCTCTCTTGTTTTGGGGAGAGGGTGGCCGAGGACTGGGGAGCTGGGGAGGAGTGGGGTGGGTGTCAATGTGACGGATGGGTTGCGGGTTGTTGGTGCTTTTGTGGATGGCGGTGTGTGTCTGAATAGGGACGTGCTGCCTCCCGCTCTGTGAGTTTCAGCAGCCTGAGGCTGGGTGTGTGGCGGGTGTAACGGGGGATTTGATTAAGGAATAGAGAAGCAAAAAAAAACTTTCAAGCTTTTGGATGGAGGCGAGAACACAATGAGTGAGACTGAGTGAGCATGCCTGCCTAATATTAGCATGAGGCACCGCATTAACAGCCTGCTGTGATGGAAATATAAAGACACTCGTTTCAAACTAAAACTGAAGTATTCACTAATGTTTCAAGCGATGTCGAACAAGGAAACAAGAATATACAGCCGATAATCTAAAGTAGAGTTCAGAAAATACATTATAGATCACCTTAGTCTCATACACTGAAAAAAATGCTTCATTCATCCAACTAAAAAAATTTAGGGTAATGATTCACATCTATATTTTTTAACTTGAGCCAATGAAAAATAAATAACTTGCCCTAAACAATATTTTCTATGTCTATGAAAACTATTTTATAAAACTGGCACAAAGTACATTTTTCTTGTTGAAGAAAGTCATTTAATTTAAATTCTATTTTTGATCCAAACAAAAATATATAGATTTAATCAAAACAAAAATTCTCATCTCAAATAAAAAAATTTTAATATAGTTTTCATAGACATAGAAAATATTGTTTAGGGCAGGTTATTTATTTTTCATTAGCTCAAGTTAAAAAATATAGATGTGAATCATTACCCTACATTTTTTAATTGGATGAATGAAACATTTTTCAGTGTAATTTCCAAGTTAAATCTATGTCAGTTGTTTTGTTTTTCCAATTTTTTAAACTAGAAAATTAAGGAAAAAAGCAAACAAATAGGGTTAGGGTTAGGAGCAATTCATTACATTCATGCAATTTTCTGTTTTATTTTAATTCAATTCCCAATGTTAATTTAAAAACACAACAAAACATGATTTTTTTATCTGGAAACATTTCCCTATAAAACATGAAAAAACTAGTTTAACAAACTAACATAAAACAGTTTATCTCCGAATCACAACAAACGGCATCAAAACTATATGGTTTTATTCCACTCTGAGTTCACAATATTGGCAGTACTGAATTTTAGGTGCTAACTCACCTTTTCTGAGGTTGAGCATTACCTGCTGAATAAAATATAAAGTGCTTTTCATACACTTAGTCCAGGTGCAGAGCATACATCAGGCTGAAAAAATGGACATAGAAGGCCTGAGATCGGTCGGTTCATCCATTACAAAGTTTTCTTCCAAGATGATTCCCACTCTAGATGGGTTAGATGTGGACTTGCTTGATCAACGCTGAGGATTCTTACTGGAGTCTGTCTTGTCAGCTGCATCCTAACAGAGGAAGAAACAGATCGATAAAGACATTATCAAGTCAGTCAGATAATGCTGTTGTCTAATACTCAAGATCATATGCTGCGTTCACACCATGTTCTACTTAGAGCTGTTCATGTCCTTGGACCGGGAACTGTGCGTTTCTATGGCAACACTATCGATGCCTAAATTAATCTGCAGCAGTCAGGTACAGTCATGTGGTACAAGTAGAAGCTCTCCGAAAATTCCCTAAGTAATTATGAATTCTACAAGGACATGAATTCTTTTTCCAAGATGGAATCTTGTAATTATGGCAAATACCACATGGGATGAATGCACTTATACATACCTGGTTTACTGTAAAAAGAGCTGGCCTTTGGGTGATGTCAGGCTTGTCGTTGACAACTTTTCTGTGTAGAACAAACATTAAAGTTACAGTCTTTATAAGGGCATCTGACTTAAGGGTTTACATTTAATTGTGCAGTGCGCCAGTCAATAAAGTGATCCTCCTCAGAACAGGTCTCAGTTAACCCACATGACTTACATCTGATCTGGAGTTTTGCTGTAAGGTGGCATAAACATTTTAGTGCATAAAGTAATTTAAATGCATGTACATGCCTGATGTGAACAACGACATTGTTTTGTTCTTGTATAACTTCCATGTTTGAACATAGAGACAGGGTTTCACAGACAGGGCTTGGCTTAAGCCAGGACTAGGCCTTGGTTAAATTAGGATATTTAAATAACTTTTATAAAAATGCCTTAAGAACTTTACGGGTGTGCATCTTGAGACACGACAATGGCACTGACATATTTTAAGATGTGTCAGTACAAGATATTTTCAGGTAAGACAGCTTGAACATGCATTTTAGTCTGAGACTGGTCTGTGAATTCGGGGGATAATGTTTATATAACGTTAGCTGTGCTCTCTTTTCACAGTTATGAGGGCCATACTTACACTTCCAAAGCATCTCTTTCATTTCTTCTTCCTTCAAGAAAAATGTTAAATTAAAATGAGAAATGTTGCCAAATTTAAAATGACTACAAAAAAAGGACAAAAGCACATAGGAAAATTACTAAAGATTAAAGTATAAAAAACTGAACTAAAAAAAAAACATAAAAATACCAACATATTTACATAAAAATGAAAATTCCACCATCATTTATTCATCCTTATGTCATTCCAAAACTGCATGACTGACTTTCTTCTGTGGAACATAAAAGAAGAGATTTTTTGTCCAATCAATGAAAATCAGTGGGGTTCAGTGTTGTTTTGAACCCCACTGACTTTCATTGTACAGACAAAAACAGTTGAAACATCCTTCAAAATATTTTCTTTTATGAGTTCAACACAAGAAAAAAGCTCATGCATACAACATGAAGATGAGTAAATGATGCCAGAATTTTCATTCTGGGGTGAACTGTCCCTTTAAGTCTCACCTTTATTTTATATTTTGAATATACACAATGCCATAATCTAAATTTCCATCTCAACATGGACCGTATCACATTCTACACGTTTGATGCATGGACAGACAGCAGTAATGAGATAACATTCGTCTGCCTGCATATGCAATGGAGCGGTTCGCAGATGAATAAGATAAGCTCCCCATTGCTTAATAAAAGAGTGCTTCTCTGGCCTTGTCCTTAGTGCAAAAGTCAATGGGAGAACACAACGGCATGCATACTAATAATGAGCCCACATCCCTGGAGCCTGGGACTGTTTTTGTTCTGGGAGCCTGAGCCACTGTTTGAGCCTCCGTGGATGTCTCTTTCCGAGGGCAGATGAAACCATCAGAAGCCCAGCGGCTCTGCAGGGATGACAGTTAACAGAGCAACTCACCTCAGACTTGTGATAGTTTGACGGGCGGACGATTAGCATTTCCTGCTTGTAATCTTTTGTGTAGCAATGAAGGGAAGGTATGTTTGCTGTTTTGCCAAGTGAAAGTGTGGCACTCACTCACTACTCCCCTGCGGGGATCTTTAAAAGTCCCGCATGAGCTCTCAGACTGCACTGAGATTGGGATGGAGCTACATGTTTGATGAGAGGAAGTGAAGTTTGTTTTTAAACTAGCAGTGAACTGAATAAAACAGAATAAGTGGCCCTCAGAACATTTCACTGAGTAAAGTGCACAACTTAGTGACGGAGTGAAGGGTGTGTTCGAGAAACTCCAGGTTTACAAGCTCCCAACAGAGCAGAATGAAGCTTTTGAATACACTTTTTAAAGATGTAACCTGTTAAATTATGGTATGGGTAAAAAAGCCATATTTTTGTCTGTACAGTATGTTACAACTCATTAATGTATATATAATTAAGTGATATAATGTTACTATACCAAAATCTGCTTTTTACCTTAAATTGATAATAATAACACAGGTGGCACAATAGAAAGCCACACAATGAATCAGAGTTCACTGTAAGTGACCTGTCCATAAAAAAATGTCCAATACTTGCATATAGTCAGTGTACATGGTCAAACACACTACACAACATGTAACATGCATTTGTATCACATAACGTAATTCATACGTTATGTGATACAAATTCGTAATAATGTAAATCAAAATCCTAATTTCTTTGTTACTGGAAACAAAAATGAGAATGAAACATTATTTAAGTATAATCAATGTGTCAAGCAGGCATGTCCTTCACTGTTATAGAGTAATTCATAATTTTCACTTCCAAAAACCATACATTTGAGGGCATTTAACAGTAAAAAGACTGTATTCTCAAAAAATATTATACCCTGTTCATCTGACAATGCAAACACGGGCAAAAATTTGACTAATGTGCCTTCTCGTTTTAGGCCTTGACAGCCCACTGAACGTGGTAGTTTGATGGGCAGGTGATTAGCATTCCTTCCTTGTTCTCCTTTGTGTAAAGGGAAAGCATGTTTGCTGTTTGGGAGAGTGAAAATGCAGTCCATACTGACTGTCCCTCGGTGGGGGGTCTTACCCATTACAATAAGCCCTGACTGAGCATATAGACTGCACTGACCACTCTTGGCGCAGGGAAAACAAAATATTTGCATCACCTGGTGCTCTAAGGCATTTAATGCGGGAGGAAGTACCAGCACTCCTGAGGGAATTACTGAGGCATTCCCTTCTCTGGAGATTCCTGAGAGCAAGGTGCAAGGGGGTACTGGGAGAAGAAGGGGATGAGGGAGACACAAAATGAGACATGATGTAATGGGATTAACATTCCCAAAATATTGTGCACTGTTTGATAGAATCATATGATCTATTTTTATATTTCATCATTAAAATGCACAAATATTAAAAACTTCTAAAACATCTGTTTTTGGTTTACTTTCTGTCAAGCGTGGTACACAAATGGTAGTCTGCAGCAGGAGTCCACTTTGTTACAACAGACCGCCACCTGGTGGCTGAATATGCACAGTTTGTCTGTTTGTGTGTTTTTTTTATATATATATAACTTAAAGAAAGTAAAATAAATGAAGCCCAAATTACTATTTTGGCCACTTAGAAGGGCGGGTAATACTTAATTTGACCGACTTAACCTATATTATTATTATTATTATTATTATTATAGAGGATGAATAACATCATATTGCTACTTCAGGCACTTTTTAGCAAATGTGAAGAGAGATCACACAACAATGTGTGATTTTCTGGGAGGCTTAATTGAAATAAATATGTTTATACATAAATTAAAAAAAATTATTCTAAAAATTGTTAACTTGTTTATGTGTATTATGTAGTGCTTAAAAATCAGACATTACATTTCAAACAAATATAATCCTTTGAATACTTCCTATTCATCAAAAAAAAAAAAAAATCCTGAAAAACACACACACACACACACACACATTATATATGTAAATTTAATATCCTTTTTAAGATAAATTAATATAAAATTAATATATATATTTTCAGGATTCTTTAATATATCATAGTTTCCGCAAAATTATTAATCTGCACAATTGCTTTCAACATTGATAATAAAAAGAAATGTTTCTCCAGCCTCAAATCAATTAGAATGATTTCTGAAGAATCATGTTACATTGAAAAATCGAGCAATTCCTGCTGAAAATTCAGCTTTGCCATCAAAGGTATAAAATACATTTTAAAACATATTAAAATAGAAAACGGTTATTTTAAATTGTAATGATATTACAATTTTATACATTCAATTAATTAATTAAGCAATGCAGCCTTAGTGAGCAGAATACACTCTTTTTTTTACAATTTACATTCTAAAGTTTGAAGTCTTTAAAATGTTTTCATGCTTTTGAAATATATGTGTGTGTGTGTGTATCTTTCAATATACAAATGAAATCCCTCTTTATAGTTAGAATGTGTTATGAAAGAGGACCGGGACTTATGTGTAGAGCTTTGTGAGTGAGACTATGTGGATGAGGCCATTACTTTACTTTTGACAAAAGGGATGACTTCATCTTTTCTGAGCCATTAGGATGTAGTAGGAAGTGTTGTCTTGGGGCTGGTAGGGGCTCGTGAAAGAGCCATTTTTCCTCAGTGCTCAATGTGCTTTGAGATCAGTAGAGGGAAACACAGGGGAGGGAATGCGCTGTGTGCCATTCTCCTATTTATTTTTATGGCTCTTCCGTTTTCCTCAGTGAGGAAGCAAAATAGGGCCTGGGGGGAGAACTGCCAATTACTGCCAGTCTGCTACGGAGTGCTTTGGCCTCGCCTCTGTTCTTCCATAGCAACTCATGAATTGCATGTGTGTACATGTGTTTGTGTGCATGAGTAGGAGATTTACTACAACAAACAATGCATTCATGAGCACATATTTCTCTCGAAATCCTTAACAGGCAAGATACACAAAAATAGTTTTACTGGCAAAATAATGAAGAAAAATACATTTTATGTACAGCTTTCCACTAATGCACAACACATTCATGCGCCAAGGTTGGGAAATGTCCGAAAAACAGAGTCATTAAATTCTCTATAAGTTCATGCTTACACCCACTTCGCCATTCTGCAAATCCCACGTCTGTTCTGATAGATGGTGATCCACACTTCCACTCGGCTCCATGTATTTGTCATTATTATAGATGGATTCTATTTGGTTCCATCAGTGTTAGTGGCGCACAGAGAGGGGAAAGCCTTTTGTGTGGAGGCTGAGTAAATTATTTGTGTTCCATACAGGGGGGAAATGGGTTAATATTTTAACCATACTTTGACACCTTCACAACAGGGAATTGGTCTCATTTTTGTTGAAGTTTGGAAAATGTTAAAATGCCCATATAGTCTACAAGCTGCCCCATATATCACTGTAAAATAAAAAGCTACAGCACAAAAACCACAGACCTTTGAAAAATAGAATAAGGCATTGTCTCTGAGGTCATTACATAATGCCTATACAGCCTTGCTTAAAAATAAAGAAGTTCCTTTTGGCTTAACTTTTTGAGCTTCAGGTTTAGAGTTGGGAAAACAAAAGTTTGAGGTTAGTAGATACGTTAATGTTTTTTGAAAGAAATTTCTTTTACTTAACAAGGTTTCATTTATTTGATCAAAAATACAGTAAAAACAATATTTCTATCATGACAACTCTGAGGGGTTGGCATGGTATAATGTATATGACAATGCTAATGAGTTTGGTCTTTGGGTTTTTGGTGGAATAGCTCATTGGCTGCTTATACAAAAAGAACCAATAAGCTGTGCTATGTTATAATGATGTCATTATGTCAGATTGAGTTTGCCCTATCGGACAAGAGTTTCATGACAGAACTTTGGATATATTGTGAGACATTAAAGCATTATTTTGAACATATTTTTAAATGTAATTTATTCCTGTGATGAAAAGCTGAATTTTCAGTGGCCATTATCCTAGTCTTCAGTGGTATATGTTGATTTGGTGCAAAATAAACATTTATTATTATTATCTATGTTGAAAACACTGTTGTGCTGCTTAACATTTTTGTTTAAACCATAGGATTTGTTTTTTTCAGGATTCTTTGATGAATAGAAAGTTCAGAAGAACAGCATTTATTTGAAATAGGAATATTTTGTAATAGCACGTCTTTGATCACACTTTTGATCAACTTAATGCACCCTTGTTGAATAAAAGTATTTAGTCCTAACCCTAAAATTTCAAACAGTCGTGTACATTTACAAAATTATTGGTTTTATTTTTTGAACAAAAAAAATATTTTTTTAAACAAACCAATGAATTCAAAAGCTTGTTATGTATGTTAAACACAACACCAGCATCCTACAGTTGGAGTTTCAGTAAAGTAGACTTACTGATATAGTTTAAGATCTGCAAATTGTAAGAGTAAACATATTTAGCTGTAGTTGTGAGCTGTGTTTGACATGGGAAGTGACTGATTGGGCAGGTGGCTGATCTGGTATAAACATTCCCCTCTGCTTAACCTCTGACCTCCATTTAATCACTTCTGCTGCTCCCTCTACTGTATATAAGCCATAGGACTCCAAGTCACACCAACATGAAATATTTAAAAGATATGTGGCATAGAAAAGTATTTAAAAAGCTCACTTTGTTGTTAATGTTCCTGATCCCAAAGCAGTCAAGATAAAATAGCTTAAAGAGGCTATGAGTGATGTTGATGAAAGCTGCAAATGCCTTTGAAACCAAATCCCCCTCAACACAGGCCATGAAAGGACTGAGATTCTGTAGGGAAATGCAGGAATGGAGCCCTCTGTTCTACCATATTTGTTGCAATCAAGTCCTCCCAATTCTCACAAAATGGTATTTCTTCCACATGACTAAAGCTGTATATTGCATTTTAAATGAGCATTTCTGCAACTTTTGACGAGATGCCACAAAGTCGTGCTCTGATGAAAAGGTGCTCGAAGATTTCACTTTAATATTTAATGACAGTTCACCCTGCCTCCATCACATCTGATTTATGGAACCAAACATAATTGACAGATTTAATAATACATATTAGATTTGCCATTTTTTGCAAACAAGTTGATTTTTTTTGTCTGACTCTACTCCACCAATAAAAATGTGGGCAAATACATTAATAAAGCATAATTCCAAACTAGGAAAATAATGCATGTAATTGTTTTTCAGGAAGGGTTTTGTAGAGTATATATCAATCATGGAGATCAATATTACTGATAATAGTACCGAAACACATTGCTGTCTCAGCATTCATAATAAGCTGCATTGAACAGTCATACATCATTCTGTCAAGCCTATTCACATTCAACCAATGCTAAGATGATCTCATCTGCATGTTATAGAAATGAGAAGCATCATGGCCGAACAGATGGGGAGGGTTGTAACACTTCTTTGACATTTAATTCTATTGGACCTACAGATATTGCACAAATTTGAACAAAATGTAGACTGATATGAAAAATCACAAATAAATGAACAGATAGATTTTAAATGTAGTACATTTTCTGTGTTACAACTCATCTGGGTGTGGTAGGTGTAACAACAGCACACCACACTTGACATTCATTTAAACAGTTTAGGGATGAATAAATAAATACCATAGATTTATATGAAATATCCAAAGTTTAGGATACATGCAAATATGAGACAGTGTGTTAAGACTGTAAGATCCATTTACTCTTTATTATTGATTAATTATTTTGGACCCTCATGAAAACAAAACATCTTAAACCAGCTTGCTGCCTGCCCAAACTGGTCTGTTTTCAACCCATAGACTCAACAATAGCAGCCTTTTGCTAATATCCCTATTCTGCCACGTTATTCATTAATTCTACTAAGCATTATAAGTTCACATTGGAATGGCACGATAACAATACAGACAGCAACGTATTTATAGCACCTACAAATAGAAACACCTGAGCTCGCAAATGTCTACATGATTTCTGTGCACTGCCTAATGTGTTTGTAAACCACATCAATCCTGTTCTGCAACGTAATCGCGTGCTCTTCAGACAGAGAGCCCAGCTCGCGCGCCAACGGTTCCCTCGCGCGGTACAGCTCACACAGCCGCTTCGCGCTGTTCCCGGAGCGCTTCAACTCAGAAACACGCCGGACTGTACTTCTGCGAAAAATACACGACGAACCCAGCAGTAGCCTGTGATATCGTTCCCACAAGTCAAGCACTCTGTATCCGTGAACAAGCCCTGCCTCGTTATCAATAAAAAGCAAATGCCCGTTGACTGTTTTGAGAAGGTTATTAGTGGTCCTCTCCATCACGCGCGCGTCCCACTGGAGACTGAAAATGTGACTGACAATTCGATCAAAGTTGGCTGTTAAATAATCAAATAGGATTAGATCACTCCATTGCATTAACTCAACCAGATACGTTACAGTCATGTTAGATATATTCTCAGCAGAGAGTTGCAGAGCTCCTACTTGCTGTTTCCGCAAATGCAATGGAATAAACACTCCAGTGACATTTGGGATGAATTCAGTGAGAGACACAATGGCATTTGGCGACCACCCTAACGCCTCGATATTTCCTCGCACACTTGCCCACTGCTCACTGGACAGGTTCAGTTTGGAAAGCACCAAGGGCGGAAGGTTGGAAATCCCAAGCAGTTCCGCTAGATAATACGAGAGCGTTTCTCCCAGCACTTGATCCGCGTCGATGCCGTATCGCACGCATGCTCTCGTGCCGTCGGCGAAGGTCGCTAGGCGGTTTGTGGGTCGGCCGCAGCCCGCTTCCAGCACAACCACCCGAGCGTCCCGAACCTGCTCTCTCCACTTCCTCTCGTGCTCCACGCCAAAAACACGAGTGGAGAGACCGTCGAGCCACGAGCTCCAGAAGACCCGGTGCTCGATCGCGTTATCCAGAATACTAAAAGTTTTTCCATCGCGCAATCCTGCGTTCACCGGCGCGTGTCTTTTAGAAATATTTACCTGCTCGTTTGCAACAGAAAATACAACGTCCCGTTCAGTGGATTGCTGGACAAATACGAACCAAAGATGCAACTTCACATTTCCAATCCACGTAACTATTCCAAGCCACATAAAAAGTGACGCGCATAATTTCACCTTGCCGGCGTTCATGATTTGGATTTCAAAACGCATTTAGTCCATTTCGCGTTCCATTTACCTCTTCTTGCATGAGTCGTCTATGGCTAAAATATGATCATTATGAATTCTCCTCTCCTATGCGATGTTCCCTGCATCTCCTCCCAAACTCTTCCAAGCCTTCTGTACAGCTTCAATCGCATGGACGCGAATCATGTGACCAAACTCAGATCATGAGACTTGAAATGTGGTTTCATATTTCTTCAGGGGGAATGCCAATGACGAAAAGGTTAGATGAGGATGTTTAGACTTTTCTGGTAAATGCACAGGAAAGTATTCGGATCTGATATATTTCAAACTTGTCTATCAACAGTAGCTATTTATTTGAGTGAACGACTCAGATTGAGGTCTCTAGCGACCTATCAGTTACGTGGCGTGATTAGTTGGCTTGTTGGTTGTTCCTTAAAGGTACACTCTTTTGCTTTTGCTTATTGAAAAAGTTTTACACATAGAGAAATGAACAGTACTAAGCCATACGCTCATCATAGCCCATCAAAACAGGCAAGTGATACAAGTTGGAAAGCAAGCCTGTGGTAAATGGTGCAAATCACTCAACTTTCACAGTTTGCTTTATGTAACAAAGACATTTAGTTGTTAGCCTATATGTATAAATTAATGATAAAAGTAGACATTTTTCATAATTTTGAATTCAGAGTTGTTTATTGTTCAAAATATAATTCTTTTGTTTTTGTTTACACTTGTTTCAACCCAACTTTGGGTCAAATATGGACTAACCCAACTTTTGGCTTAGAAATGTAATGTAAAAATTTAACCCAACGGTTGGGTTAGTCCATATTTGACCCAAAGTTGGGTTGAAACAACCCAGCATTTTTTAGAGTGCAGTAATAACAAGGTACACGTTTCCCAGGTGCATTTGAAGGCAGCATTACTACTACTTATAATAATGTTCACTTTATATTGTGCTTTCAGATAGTGCTCAAGGCATTTTAACAAGCATAAGCATGAGGGTACATCTAAACAAAACAAGCAAATCAGGTGATATAATAAATGTTTACAATGTACATACAGCAGACACAACATTGTTGAGCCTGAGTCAACAGGATAGTCCAGAGTGATAATAACTGGTGTGTGCGGTCCACCAGACAGCGCAAACACAATGAGTCTGAAAGGAAAAATGAAACGTCCAAACAAGCAGTCCTTACTGGGGTCATGAAACAAACGGCAATGATTTGCAGCTCTCACACCACAGATTGGGAATAAATGTGGGGACATCAAGCCCCAACCATAAACACATGATGGTCACAGCTGTCACACTGCAAAAGCCGTCCAACACAGCCACTGCAGCGAGAGAACTCACGGCAGACCAGTGACATAACATTTATTTATAGGCCTAGTACATTTGAAAATTCACCATTAAACAATGCATTTTTTTTCAACAAAGACATTTTCAACATTCATTTGTTAAAAATTGATTTGGTGTGGTAATGTTTGGTCACAATATTCTGGGTTGTTTTGTCATGTGTGAGCTGATGCTACTGTCATTCTGTTTTGGCTTGTTACTTATTACTTGAATGCACTGCCAGACATACAGCTGGTCAGACCATGTTCCCAAAATGTCTGGCCAGGAGCATGAAAAAGCTGCAGGTGTTGTGCCTAAATCCTCCCCCTGCCACCATTCTGTCACTCTTCACATAAATGCGTGCACACTGATTTTGGAGCTTTGCACCTGCTGAGAAGACTTGGATATGTTGTGGTTTGGGTGTTAGATACCTGTTTGCAGGTTCCCAAAATAAGATGTCGGCATAGAGGAATAAAGCCAAACCAGGAGCATTGTTAGCCAACTGGTCGCAAGTGTCTGTTACCAGCATAGTATTCGGTTTTTCCAAAAACCATAGTTCAAATGGACATTTCCAAACAGCATCTCAGAGATCTCTAATTGATGAATTTGCTAAAGTTATTACTCAGTTATATATTGTTGAACCAGCGTGGCATTGTACTTTGATATTTAAGCAGTGAGTGAGTAACGTTGTTGTATGGGAAATCAGAATCACAGAACTGTTACTTGTGTGAAGTTCTACAATATATAAAAACATGGGCTTTCGAAATACACTAAAATGTTTAGAACATATTTATTTAATGAATATACAAAAACAGTGGTTTATCTGTAAAAACCTAAAACTTTGGTTCTATGCCCTCTAGATTACAAGTCTGCACTGAAAAGTAGCTAGAAGGTCAAAGAAAAACAAATAAGCGTATCTGTATAGAGATGTTGTTATGTTTTATGGATGGAAGGGTTGACAAGGAGGCCTGTCTTTGCTAGGTTGGGTTACAGGTGTTGTTCTTTCATCCTGGCCAATTTGTCTGAAAGGAGATTGGTGCAGAGACGGTGAGCTGGTCTTTAAGAACAGGTTTTGTCATGTTGTATGGGATCAATGTCATTAGCTTGAAATGCATCAGACAAGTCGAGTATGAGGACGGCTGATCTGGAGGCAGCTTCGGCCCACTGCAGGATTTCATTGCGATCAGGTGCAGCCTATGTGGAATGTCCACTTTTGAAGCCAGATGCAGGATGTTTATTGGAAGAAAGTTAGAGACCTGACTGACAACAACTCAAAAATAAACCTTAATAAAATATTTAAAAATATATATTTTTCTGCTCCAGGCTGCTTCATCACTGGACCAGCTCAAACATAACCAGAAGAATCATATTAATCGCTTAGACAGGCTCTCTAATTGTGATTTAGCAAAGCAAATAATAAGAGTAAGAAGCTATATTGATTTTGGCAATTAATCTAAAAAAGCTATACTTTCATATTTCTTTATTTATTTTATTTATTTAGTCATTTATCAGACGCTTTTATCTAAAGCGACTTGAGGATAACAGAAGCAATCAATTGTAGTATTAAAACAACTAAAAACAGATCCAAAACTAAAAGCTAAAACGTTATAAATACTACCTATACACATTTAAAAAAATAAAGAGATTAAATAAAAATGACAAATGCACACTACACAATTTCAAAACTTAACATTTAAATGAAAAACAAAAAATAAAGCTAAAAACAATTCAAAATATTAAAGAACAAAAGGTATGAGTATAATAATGATTCTAACATAACACTAAGCCAAACACCAAAAAAACAACTACATATGTGTATGTACAACCATACACACACATACATATATACTGTATATGTACATACACATTTATAAATATTATTATTATTTATTATCATACAAAGATTCTTACAAACAAGGGACATCGTAAGCAATTTGTCATATATTAAAATGATTAATTATACTTTTTGTACATAAAACCTCACGTTATGCAGACACTTCACTCCATTTTCCATTCCGCATTATTGAAATGTATTTAATGGTCCATTAATCTTTTACTTTGTGAATGCAACTTAGAATAGTTACGCAGGTGGTATAAAAAGGACCAACATTAAAATACAGTGACTAAATATTGCAGAGCTGAGAAGAGTGTGTGCTAAAGTGGCAAAGTACTGAAGTGTCTGTTCCCTCGGTGTTCCTTCTCATTGCAAATGCACGTTTTAGCGAACTTTGTCCAGAATGTCCATGAATATTTTAGAGAGAAGCCCTTTTCCCTTCAGAGTGCCCTCGAGCAAGAGATGCTAAGTAGAACACACCATCAGCAAGGCTTCTTGAATGTTTCTTATTTGGTAGTTGAGTCTACTTCCAAACATCCAGAGGCAAGTCTAGGTTTTCAATAAGTGATTACAGTCTTCTTCTATCATAAGTTATACAGCTGTGCAAGAATATAATCCAATATTGCTTAGACGTTGATGGATTGTGACTGCCCCGTAACAGAAGTAAAACGTTTGTGATAATCGAAATAATCATTCAAATATCCCTTTAAAACTGCCAGTGTGATTCATTAATATTTGTCCAAGATAAACACTCCGTTTGGAAGGAGATGTTTATTTGAAAATATTTTTGAGACTCTGTCCTTTCTGTGGAATTGTGTTTGTATGTAGCTGCCACAGCTGAAACAAATTAAATGTCAGAGTTGCATGTAAAACATCTCTGACAACCCCTCAAAAAACAAAACAAACAAAAAAACATGTCGATAATTTTAGTAAATGTATTGTACGCATATGCTGTTTGCCTGCTGTTGGACACATTGATGTTTGACTTCAATAGTCGTAAAACTGCTAAACATTCTGAGGACATAAACATCTTCGAATTTGTTTTCAATATGCACACAATACTAAACATGCAAAGCTGCGGTGGTGTATGGATTTGGGTTTTGATTTGATTTTATTGTTTGGAGAGAATGAAAATAACTTGAGGAGGGTTTCTATGGAAAATGAATACTGTATGGTGTAGAGAGGGTGGAAACAGGCAGTAATAAAAAAAATAAACTGGAAAGCAGTTAAGGCTTTTTGCAGAGATCCTATTTTGAACAAATGCATCATTAGACTATACTTGTCTAATTATAAATATTTATAGGTCTGATCAACAGTTGTTTACCAGCAGGATATTTTTTTCAGTGTGTTTGTGCTTTGTGTCTTGTGACACATTTGTTAATCATCACAGTCATAAGAGCAGGGGGTTTTCTTCATTCAGACAGAATGAGTGTATTTGGGAACGGTTAAGAACATGGAAACTCGGTTTCCATGGGAACTCAAAATAAACGGGGAAATGTTTTCCTCTTTAGTCTGTCCTGCTGAACCATTCTACCACACTAGAAAACAACTTACATCTGTCCTTGTGACACCAACCTTAGAGACTCACATATATTTTTCTCATATCAAAAGTGAAAGTTGCAGCAAAAGACTGAAAGTCTACATGTAAAGAAAATAATCCAAATGGATCAGTCAAATGGAGAAACAGATGGGGGAGGGGTTAGAGAGAGAGAGAGAGAGAGAGAGAGAGGCAATGAAAGAGAGTTCTCAAAGTCAGTCATTTGTAGAATACATTCCCACATCCCATTATCTGCTTGACCAGTGAAATGGTGCCAATTTATTATATTTATTTATATATATATTCTCCCAAAAGTGTGTTGTCAGTACATAAATTATAACCTAAATTAGTATTATTAAAAACTCCACTACACTTCCCTAGAAACTACATTTACAGTTTTTTACATTTACAACTTTTGT